AATATACTAAATAAACTTTTATCTGAATGGATGAATTAACATTAAGAGGGACTGTTTATATTGAATTTGAATAGTACTTTAGTTGAAAACAACTGAGAAATTATAAATTGAGACAGCAAAATATTGATAGTGATGTTTAAATATCCCTTTAAACAGGTAAATTAAAATATAAAATAGGAGACCTAAGAAGCATCTCTTAATAAAGGAAATTATTAATGACAGAGAATTTAGATAAATACTTTGCTTGTGTATTAATAATAAAGTTACAAAATGTGGGAAATGGGGAAACAAAATGTAGAGCTGCTTTTGTCAATTTAAAGGGCATTCGTAAACACTGGATAAACATCTAACCAGCCAACATAACACATTGTACAACTGCCTTGGCTAAATTAGCCAGTAAAGTAAAGCATAGTGTCTGAACACTTTATTTGATATTGATATTTTTGCATTAGAAATTTTAAAATGCAACTCTCGCTGATGGAGGAACTTTTGTGTAATTAGTTAAGCTGGAGAAAAAAAAAACCTTATCCGGCAATTTCATTGGATTACTTGTTCACGACAAAGTACACCATAGGTATCTTCCTAAGAGGAGGGATGCATTCGAAGAGGAAATCTGAAGCAAAACTGGCTTATATTTATTGAAAAATGAGAAATACTCCTATGCAGTCTGCTCGATCGCTGTGGCTTAAACCCGAATCCTATTACCAGTGTTCATCGATCGGTAATTTACAGGCGCACTGCGAAATGAAAAACTACAGCCTGCATTTTTATTTAATTTCCTAGAAGATTTATAGAAAAGGTTTGATGAAGTAAATTTGAAAAGTTTCAAACTACAGCAATTAGAAATCATTGGTAAATTGTTGTTCTACGTTTGTGATTGGCATAAGATTTGAAAAATAAAACTAAAGTGCAGTTAGAAAGGCCATGTTGCATTATATGTCCTAAAATCTAATTTTATAGGGTTTTTCGGCATTATTTCAAAAGATTTATTTGATAAAGGAGAAATATATGTTACGAAAGGTTTATGACAGTTCTTACACGTTTCACAGAATGTTTCCAAAGTTTTACCCTTATTTTTAAGAGGGGAGGTTTAAGTGTTACATTAATTAAAGTTTCAGAAAACTGTGTAAGTTAGAATTCTAATAGAGCATAATTTGGAAACTATCTTTGCTACTTAAAGATGACAAGCAATAAATTTATACTTAAAGACGTTAATAATAAAACATTAATAATTTTATTAATAATAAAATATCTGCATTTAAGCGTTAAAGATCAAATTATAGAAGGTTACGCTTTCTTTTAATCTTCCTTAAAATCTGCGTATTTTGCACAGGAGTGAAAATGCAGAAATGAGCATATAGATAGCGTTTTGACATTTATAATATATAAGCTTTAGCAAAAAATTCGGAAGTGTCAGGTTCTATATTTTGAAAATACCAAAACATTTTTTATTGTAAGACATTATTGGTCAGTATTTGTTAAATATGAACGTGGTATACGAAGAAAATTGTCAATCAATCATTAATTCTAGAAAGTTACTCGGTGAGAAACTCTTCGAAAAAGGCAAATTCTATAACATTCCATGGCATAATTTCCAAGAATGTACATTGAGGATTCATAATATCCCTACGTAAAAAAGTTTCACGAGGCTTTGCTTAGAGTGAATCTGTGGAAAATGACGGCATGGTAGTAGCCTATAATTTGTACTCTGCTGTCTCGGGACAAAAGACGTAAAAGTGAAGACTTAATCCAGATGTTTCAATGATAAAACTTTCAGAACGCTGTGCTTTTCTACGAGTATTTCTAAGTCAATGAATCTTTTCCTAAAATCAAGCCTGATATTGTTTACTAACAGGTTCTATTAGTGTACATAAAACAGATCAAAATTTAATTTTATGCAGTGTGTTTCTCATTTCATGTTGTGCGCCAAAATGCGTATATAATGAAAAATAGATCAATATTACATACAAAGAGTGCCATGTCAATTCTTATAGAGACAATTATTCGTGACTATTTTTGGTCGTCACATCACGAAGAAAATTATTCGCAGCTTCTTTTCGTCACCGGCAATATTCATCGTCATAATATGTAATAAATTTGTTACAGTGATGATCTATTTCGTCAGTGAGAGATAGTTCATTAGCTAAAGCGTATTTCGCCGTGGAACATGATTCCTAGAATTCTCCCATAAGAAACGAAGAGGTTTAATGACAAAACTGTTATTTTCTATATTTTAACAATAGTACACAATTAGAAATCTCTACCGACATTTCCTGCATCTAAGAAAAAAAAAAAAAAAAAAAAAAAAAGAGAATAAAATATACAGGATTCATGAAAATGTTTTGAAAGTGTAAAAAAACCACATTGTTCAGTTGTCATATTTAAATGTTAAAATCTGCACTTCAAAAAACGAAAAAAAAAAAAAAAAAAAAAAAAAAAAAAACTTCACGACATTCAGATCATTACTTGTTTATCTGTTTTATGTGGTTTTTATACTTTGAGAAACTATTTTTATTATTGCATGTTTTATTCTTTTTTTCCCCCTTTATAATTATTTATGCTGCGAAGGAAAATATATGTTTATAGACAATTCTTGTTACTACTAATGAAAATAATGATGGAAGGATGGTTAATGAAATATATATAATAATATATGATAATAATGAATGATAATAGGGTAGGATAATAATGAATGAATGGCATGATAATAAATAATATGGTATGATAATAATGAATGAATGGTATGATAATAAATAATATATTATGATAATGATGAATCAGTGGTATGATAATAATGAATGAATGGTATGATAATAAATAATGTATTATGATAATGATGAATGAGTGGTAAGATAGTATGTAATATGATAAAAGGAAAATAGAGACCAAATGTAGTTTTTAGCAATTATATGGATGAACTAGTTTCTTTCGTCACTAGGAAGCAAAAAACAGGACATGCTTTAAAGATAATTTGTATGTCTGCTTTATGTGATTTTTACACCATTGAAGAAATTCTTAAAATCGCAAGTTTTGTTAAACATCTCGAAGAAAAGTAGTATTGTATTCGATTTACAATAAAAATCGCGTCCACGATCCCTTTTTATTGTTGCTTAAATAAATATATTATAGGATGGAAACATTTATGATCTGGGTACGTAGAAAAACATGTACGTGTGGCATATCAATTACGTCTGAATCTTCTTTTAAGTTTATAACATAATCCACTTGTTGCTAAAGGCATTTTGGTTCAGTTACGTCTCATGACATTTCCGGATATCTGCAATCCGTTTCTAGTTTTTTTTGTAGCATGGCGCTATCTGAAAAATTTCATAATTCGGTGATGTGTATAAAAAAGGCATTAAAGAGCGCACGAACATTAAATTCTGTGCTTGTTATGGCCAGTGTTCAAAGGAAATCTACAAAATATTGAAGATGGCTAATGGCTAACTCACTATTATGTTCGAAAGCTCTTGAGTTGATATGACATAACTAGTAGTTAGAAAGTAGACGTCAAAAACTATTGTAATGGAGCGGATTATCAGTGGAAAAAGATGATGAGAAAGCGCCGCAAGCTGTTTCGACTATATGAGCGAAGAGAAAACAAAGAGACAAGAAAACGAAGCTGCCGTTGGAAGGGTATCCGAGTCACAATTCAACAGTGGATTCTAACACAGAATCTGAAGCCCAGTGGATTCTAACACAGGCATGTCACAGAAAGCTAAAAAAAGACGGATGGTTCTACGGGAAAACGATCTCATAGCCGCTGCCTCTAGAAACCTTCTGCTACTGTGCAACAAAGTCTTAACATAACATAAAAAAGTGATGTTTCTTTTCAGCTAGGGCATCAAGCAGGTATTAGATTCATGAAAGTCAGAAAATAATTCTGCGAAGGTAGGACAGGATCATATTAGAGAGTTGGTTTGACATTAAGATTATTTTATTATCCACTTTGTATCTCAGATTTGGATAAGGATTTGGCCAACAGAATGCTCTTAGCTTCGAATTTATGGCCAAAACCAGAACTCTAGCCCCTTCATAATTCGTATTTTCACTTTATCTTTTTCATAGAGTTTTATGAGTTGAAAAACAGAGTGTCAGGAATTTATGAGTGAAATATCAGCGACTAATATAATCAAAAACTCTTTTTTCCTGGTTATTTCTAATTTGAAGAAAAATATTATTTTTTTCAAATGATTTATCTCGATGCATAAAAAACAAAGTTGTTCATATTGTTTAACGGTAACATATTGTTTAAGTATGAATAATTTCACATCTATTTATTACAAGATAGTTTTGTACTAGTTTATTACAAGAGAGTTTTTGTACTAGTTTATTACAAGATAGTTTTTGTACTAGTTTATTACAAGATAGTTTTTGTACTAGTTTATTACAAGATAGTTTTTGTACTAGTTTATTACAAGATAGTTTTTGTACTAGTTTATTACAAGATAGTTTTTGTACTAGTTTATTACAAGATAGTAGCACATAGATTTATTACAACATAGGTCTTGTACCAGTTGAAAGTTTTTATACTAAATGGAAAAGGACAACTAGATTTTCATGCAATGAATTAATATTAGGTGTGAGTTAATAGCTTGAGATTTGAGAAATATGCAATGATTTCACCTTTCTTATTCAATAATAAACATAAAGAATACACAGAATTTAGTGGTGGAAAGAAATAATATTGTTAATAATGCAGCATCACAGCATATAATTTTTGTTTATGAAAGTGGTCAACAAATTTTACATCTGCGTGTATAAAACCTACACAGGTCTTAAACGTTATATGAATCAAATAGTTAGACAAATTGTTTATTTGATTTGTTTGTACATTATCAATGGAAGGTTTGATGTAAATACAATCATGATGTTTATTATTTAAAAAAATAATTAATCATTTGGGAAACCCACGGAGTACTGGATCCCATGCGATTGCGAATTTTGTGACCTTATAAATCCGACTCTGATTTACAGCAAGTGTAAATGAATCAACTTACCTGGAATACTTGTTCCTAGAGCTACTAAAGCAACAGCAGTGACAGTGTCTTTTAGGCCAACTGTGCAACCGAAGTGAGAAGCAAGATCTCCAATGACAGCAGTCAGAATACCGATGCCGAAGATTGATACAACGAAGCACAACCATCCGTCCAGCATATCTGTGACAAGATTAAAAAAATTAATTACTTTTTGCTTTCTGAAACGTGATTAGATCTTTGATATAATAATAACAAAATTCTTGAATCTTTGACAATAAAAAGATTATTATGCATTTTCATGAATGCATTTCTCACTGCATGATTCTTGTACTTTGAATTATTTATTTACTGATCAGTAATTCATGCTTATATTTTTATTATAAATATTGCTTATTAAAATATTTGCTGTAGCGTAAAGTAAATCAATACCATGCACTTAAAAGAATAAATCTGAATATATACTGTCGGATAAGGCATCGAGGGACATGACTGGAACACTTATTGGCATTTTCCATTTGGCGTTTTTGCAAACAGTGTCATTGGGGTTGCTAGTAGCTGTTCAATTTTAGCCCAAGACTTTAGGAAAATGTTTTAAATGCATTAATTTTACTACAACAGTGAAGTTTATATATGCAAGAGTGATTAGTTCGTCATTAACAAAGCAAAAATGAAATCTCAGTCTCAAACCATTACACATCAAAGATTCCACGAAACCATTCTATGATTCTCGGGGATATGAATTTTTCATACTACTGAAGTGAACAGGATTCTGCTATGGCTCACGTGTGAATAGCCAGAATAATGCAGATGCATTGGTACCAGAGCTTAAAATATTTTCTAAGGTTATTTACCGGCAGTTCAGTGCACAACTGTATGCAATACGCAACATTCAATAGCACTTGTATAGATGCTATGAAGTGCTATTGATGTTATCTGCTTTGTCGCCGGATTTGTAGCCAAGTGAAAATTTCTTTTACATGATCTCGTACGTGGACCAACATGAAAAATGCAGTCATTGCTTACATAGACGAATTTTGGTATACTAGTGTGGAACCTGCATGATTATACATACTCATTCGACGTTAATATAAGACCGTGTAGTAAGGAATTTTGGTTCTTACGGTGGCTACACCAGGTGCTGAGGTACTGATAGTTTCGCAATTCAAAATTTCTTCCAGAATTATATTTGTGGTCATTTTATCGTTGTAAAGCAAGTCATCTTCAGTAAATATGGGTTTAGTAGTGCACATCGTGGCTTCGGCCGGTATGGTGATTAGAGCAGGTTGGTTGATTTTCCTGCCTTCGAATTACGGTTAAGGCATAGATATTTGTGACTGCAGTGTCTTTGCGGAAATAAGTCACTTAAATCTGCCGCGGCGAGAGGTTCTGTCAGGAGGTTGATGTTAGGAAAAGAAGGGTTAGAAACCCTTTTGGATTCCGTGACTTGTGGATGCGTTTATCAAACGTGCGATGAACTTAAGTAAGCAGCCCTCCTGCATGCTGCCAAAATTAAGTAATTCACTCCAATCCGTAGATCATTTGCTTCATGCTAGTGCACTTCTAGTGATCTGTGTCTCTATTATAATTAAGAAAATTTTTATCACAAGCTAAAAATCTATGACTGATACAGGGAAATGTTCAGAGTTATTTATTTTGTAGTTAAAACAAAGAAATCACAGGCCACTTTAAAAAGACTGCATGATTCAAAGTTTTTTAAGAGTTCGTTGTAGGCCCATATTTTGAGTTTAAGCAATGAATTCGAAAAGCTGTGCTTCTGATTATGACAATTTGGTCATTTGCCCCCTTTCGTAAAAATATTAAAAAAAATGGAATTTTTATGTCACCCTTCTCGGAAGTTCCAGTTAATAACTTGTTTCATAAGGTAAAAAAGATCTTTTAAGAAAAGCTTCACCACTTTCGCTTAAAGAAAAATGGTCGATTATGAGGGTTGTATAAAAATAAGTTTAATGAACACAAAATTCTGAGTTTCACCCTTAGTAAAAATGGTAATTAGAAATCATTGCTTCCAAATTATTGCTTTTATGAAGTAAATAGTTTTTAGTAATTTGTATTCAAAAACTTAATATGCATATTTGCTAGATTAAACAAAAGCTGGCTTCTTTTTATTATTTCGTTTTATGGAAAATCCAAGTTGCTCCTTCACTGGTCGACAGAAGATTTTCATGTATTAGTTTTGCCAAGTGGTTAAAAAGTTTTCATTTCAAAATAATAAAAAGCATTCTCTTGTATTGAGAGATTATGAGAATTTTGCAATCATTCATTTCTTTCTTTTGATTAGCTATAAAATTTTACGTGTTTTATAGAAATTTACTTTAGTGTCATTGTTGTCTTCTATCAATAAAATTCACAGTTCCATAATTAAAGACCCATTTTGAATATGGATTCCTAGGGAATATGCAGTATTCCTTGCCAGTGTAGCTTAATATATATTGGGTGAACTAAGAGAGCCTCGAAATTTGACGATAAGAAGAATGAGATATACGTTAAGGAAAAAAGAATGTAAATCCTCTGTTACTTAATACTGCTGGTCAAAACGTCACATTTTCCAGTTTTGTGCAGCCGAAATTATGCATAAACCATCTTCTGTTGACGAATCATAGTTTCTAGAGGAATTTTACATTCATAAAAGTCAAGTTAAAAATCCCAATTCTAATCAGTCTTAACACTCAGCTTTTAAAGAAATGAATTCATAATTATTTTCCTTTCTTGTTAGATGATGGTACCAGTTGTTTTGTTTCTTATCTTAATTGGAACTTTATCGAATTTTCTGGTTTATTGTTATTGCCTGAGCGTAGGCGTTTCCTTCGTCATTCTCACTTACTCAGCTGAAGAAAAAGGTTCTCTTCAGAGCTTCGAAATTAATGCTACTTACGCTGATTCTTGTTGCTTTAGTATCTCCAATATTTATTCTTGGCTTATTATTTTAATAACTACTAGTTAACACAACTGATCTTTGACAATATTCGCATACGATTATCAAATTTTCTAATTAAAGATAATTTTTAATTTGAATTATACACCTATGTTATATGGTTTCTTAAAAACCACAATTCATCTAACAAGTAAAGATATAAAACTTCACATTTCTAAAATAAGCGAAAAAATATTTTGTCCTGTTACAGGAATAAAATGCAAAAACAATACGCTCGTTAAAATAATACTCTCAATTGTAAAACTTTATGTTCCTCTAATTTTTAAAAAGTGATAACTGAAGATGAAAATATTATTATAAACAACGTAAAATTAGAAATTTCTGTATTGCATCTCAAATCTAAAAAAATGTTGTTTAAAAATAATATTTCAATAGATATGTTACGGTGAATCACCGAAATATGGAGAATGTCGACTTTCACCGGTGAATGTCGCTTTATGTATATCCGAAATATTTTCTAAATACTCTTATTTCTGATTTGCACCGGTAAATGTCGACATTCACCATGTACTTATGGCGAATGTTAAACATATAAAAATATTATATTTTCTTCTCCGACATTAAGTCGCGAAAAAACGCACTTGAAACATAAAATATGAACTTAAGAACATAAGAACTTAAAACACACAGTACATTCAAAATGAGAAAGGAAAATAATAGAAGTTAAAAGGTGTGTTGCACTTAATTTTTAGCAGAAAGCACTTCAGAAAGTATTTTAGAGTACACTCACTTCCAAAAGTTAAGCACAAAGATGTAAAATGAAAAAAAAAAAAAAAAAAAAAAAAAAAAAAAAAAAAAAATCAACTTTAATTGACACAAAAATTCGGCAGGAAAGTGGCGTATATATTTATGCATAAACAAAATAAATAATTATATACAGAAATGAAAACAATATTAAATTTTTTAAGTTATCAGATAATGACATACTGGAGACTTAAACAGAGTTATGTATAAAGTGAAAATAAACAGCATAAAATGAAAAAAAGAGCACATTAATAGGGTATGTGCCCCCCCCTCATCTGTATACAAAGTTTACACCTTGTGATCATGCTTTCAATTAGGTGGTCAACCACCGGAGAATTAAGCAATCGCCATTCTTCTTGTAGAGCAGTTTTCAGCTCAATAAGAGTGGCTGGAGGTGGGAAATGTGAAGATACAGCACGGCCGAGAGCATCCCAAAGATTTTCAATGGGATTAAGGTCAGGCGAATATGCTGGCCACGCCATACGTGCAATCCCTTCACTCTCCAGGTAGTCATAGACGATGTCAGCTCTATGGGGACGTGCGTTATCGTCTATTAAAATAAAAGTAGGGCCAACTGCTGCAGCGTACAATCTCACAATGGGTTCTAAGACTTCATCTCAATATATTAGAAGAAAATATAATATTTTATTACAGCCGTCAAAGAACCCCGTTTAAAGATGGTCAGGTCGGTGCGGTATCCTAATGAAATCCCTGCCCACACCATAATGCTTCCGCCTCGGAATGCGTGATGTTCGGTGATGTTTTGGGACTGATTGCATGTTCGTTGTTCACGCCATATCCTTATACGCTTGTCATCTGGCTCCAGAGAAAATCTTGACTCATCAGTAAACATGACATTGTCTCAGTGAGACACATTCCAATTGACATGTTCCCGGCACCACTATAATCGTGCCCCTCTTGATTGGACGGATAGAGAAACACAGACTCGAGCATACAGTCCACTCATATGTAATATTCTGCGTACAGTAGCTGCAGATATCGCCTTACCAATGGACGCTGTAACCATAGATGTCACACGTGTGGAGGTCTCTCTGCGACTCCACTTGGCTACAGTAGCAATATATTGATCTTCCGCGGGGGTTGTAAACCCTTGGGCGACCGGCTACGGGCCTTCCGACAACTGTCTGTGTGGCTTGGAATTGTTTCCACAAACGTGAATTTACAGAATGGTGAACGCCGAAGAAAAGAGCAACATCTGTGATCGACTGCCCTGCTTCAATGCGCCCCACAGCACGCCAGTGCTCAGAACCTTCCATTCGTCTTCTGGAAGTCATAGAAACACGTATGTCTTGAAAACAAATTGAACGAAAGTTTTAAACACCTTCTATTAGCTCTTAGAATCAACTTCTCTAACCCTTCATAAAGCTGGCTTCTTATAAGACTGCCTTTTTTGCATATTTCTTGACATGAAAGCGCGATTGACTGTTACCTAACATATTTGCATACTTCCATCTACCTCTGCAGCGAATTGCATCATCTCCAATTTTGATTGGCTTCCGGAAATTAGCATTTTCCTCTTCGTGCTTAACTTTTGGAAGTGAGTGTACTTTTCTTGAGAAAAACAAAATCAATTGTTTTCTCGTTTAACCGCAATTAATGCATTTAACCTTTCAAGAAAAAGATCACGATTCACTGCAGTATCCATTCAGTATAATTTAGGGTATCGGAAAAAAGAAATTAAAAAAACGTTGCTTGCACAAATCAAACCTTGCATAAGACTGACAAAGCTGACTGACTTCCACCAGAACAAAGGATTTGGCGGGAAACAGCCAGTCGCCTCTTTGTCAACTCCTCTCTTTTCGACCTACACCAAAGCATATCTGTGATTACTGTGAAAGTTTTGTAAATTAACGCTGATTTTTGTTGTTTGACTTCTGAATTAGTATTTATTCGGCGTGTTATTGTTGTCTTAATCATATCTGTGATTGTCGACATACACCGGTGAGGGTCCGAATGTACAAGAATGTAATGCAATATTCGATCTTTTACCGACGTATTTGGTGAATATTGACATTCTCTGGTGAAAACCGACATTCTCCAATTTTGGTCTTTCACGGTAACATATACACTTCCCAGTTGGGGGTGTATGCCTAAATAAGTATATAACAAATAACGATAAAATAGTAGCGTGTAAAAATCCAAATTTACAAAATAATGCTTTAAATAATTTTTTGATAATAAGTCAAACCATCTAGATTAAATAAATGATTTTTTGTTGTTTTATAGAACATTATGAATAATTATGAAATGTAGTAATACGTCGGAAGACCTTAAAAAAAGTTGGTAGTGGATAAAGAAGTTTTGTACTTGCAGTGTTTGAAGAGTACAGTACTTCTAAAAATACTTTTACTAGTATTTATATAGGATACACTAATTTTTATATTCCAGTAAATTGCTTAATGCATTATTATACTTAAATTGTTTTGTGAATTACAATTCATATAACTAGAACTGACATTGTATGGTCATTACTTTAATTTGTGCTATATGTTACTTTATGTTTTGTTTGATAACATTATGATTAGAAAGCGATTTCTAGATCATTGATTAAAGTATGAGGATAAGATGTTTTAAAGTAATGTTATTTGATTCAGACAATGCACATGAAGCTATTTGTCTTAATTTCATCTGAAAATTTATGTAGACAGTAACTGGGTATTGAAGTTCAAGGTCTCATATCCTTCTTCCATGCCACTGGTCTTCCAAGAAAATTTTCGGATTGTTCAGACACACAAAAGACACAATACCATCACTACGGTCCAAGCCTTGTTCGCGATTTGAACTCGACCCTAGTGGCACATCGGTAAATTAGGTATTAGATAATCTGCTTTACCTTCTAACAACTGTTATGAAGTTATCCGAGATGAAAAATGTCTTAAACAATAAAGAAAATGAAGATAAATCGCATGACAGCGCAATTGCGTTTAAGTCTTTGTAGGGTTGGTAGTTAATGTGATGGAGACTTAGCCTTTTCATTCAAAATTAAATAATTTTCATTACCAAAAATAGACGTAATATACGAAAATTTGTACTGAACAATTTTAGAAAACTTTAATTTAAATGCAGTTTCCTGTTCAATAGATGAAACGTGCATATTTGTTTGGGAATTCTTTAATACTTTGTTTTATTTTTAACGCCACAATCCGCTCATGGTCGAATGGTTAAGACCGCTGAAATCAGGAGGTTCGATTCCGGCTGTATGAATGCTTTTGTAGCGTTATAGCATGTGATGCAAATACGAGCTAGTTTCCTTTAGAAAGTCTCTCACAAAAGGTGTCTCTTCCTTTAAGCGGATAGTTCTCTCGTGCTTTGCTGTAATCAAATGACAAACAAATACCAATTTCATATCAGGTTCATAAATTTTAATCTAAATATCTTTCATCTAGTTTCCAAGCGCTGAAGAGCGTAATCTAGAAAATAGTTTAATAATCATAAACTCAGTTCTCAAGTACACAGTGCTAGATTAAGCTATCAGTTATGTTACTTTTAATTCCCTCGTGTTTTGCATTTGTGTTAAAAATTTCATAGTAACAACTAAATTTTTCAATTAATTAGTAATGCCGCATTTTAATTTCATCTAACATTCATGGTAATTATAATTAACATGTGTTTTTGCCTAAAGGTTTACAATTTATTCTATTATATTTTGCGTTCTGAAATGGAGTCCGATTTATTTATCTAGGACCAATAAAAAAGCATATAGTCACCTTTTGCTGACACTTATAAAATATTACGGCTGCTATTTACATACTATAAAATAATCTTTAACATTGCAGCAAACTGACTTTCGAAATGCTTTCGTTAAATTTTCTTGAAAATAGGATTAATATAATTAACCTTCTAAGTTACGAAAAGTTTCTCCAATTGTGAAGGACTGTATTTACACAGCGTTTATTACCTTGATTTGTGTAATGATTTGCTTCACCCGTTGTGTGAACGAATTAAAATCATGAAAAAGCTTCCTAGGTTATCTAAGAAAATACGAGAACAAATTATTTTAAAGAACTAGGATTATTTAATTAAGGTAAAGACCACGAGGCTATTTGCCAAAACCCTCAAACAGCGGTAAACTGAGTGCTCCGGTCTCGTACTCTTTTTTATGGATGTCTATTTTTTTCCCAATGACGATCTACATTCACATATTACTCAAGTTGTCGTCTAGTGCTCAGTAACAAAATGCCGTTAGGGAATAAGATAAAAAGTTCTCTTTCTGTTTCACATAAAGTAACTTTTTCCTTCACGTCTCCGTCTCCCCAAAACGTAACAGTCGGCATTTTTTTCTTTTTAATAATGAAGCTTAGCTAGTATTGTGGCATTGTTGTTATGATATAATATTGTTCTACTTATGGTAACAAAATTTACACTAAATTTTTAAAAAAGTTCAGAAAACTAGTTTTTAGATTTACGTATGCATAACAAACGTTTAATTGAATTTTCATACTTACAAAATGCCACTTATATTCGTATTTTTGCAACAAATATAGGACAACCTGATAGTGAAATTATATTATCTTCTTAATGCGCTTTGTCTTTAAGGGATACGTTCATTGAATAATAACATTTCGAATGCCCTTACTTTTATAAGTTTTTCTACTTACCAGCAGGTGGAATGAGGGCGAAAAGAAGCTTCCAAAATAGTGTGATAAAATGCATGACATAATCAGAGCAAGTGGGTAGCTTAGGTTCTTTTTCTTCTCCTTCCTCTCCTTCTTCCTCACCTTCTTCTTCATCGTCGTCATCACCTGTTACCAAGAAAATACATTCCAAGTTAAGTTGTTTTCAACCATTAACTACATACGAAATACAGTACAACTTGCGTCTTCTTTTTTTTACCTGCACTCACTGTAATAGCTTCAAGGAACTGCTCTTTCCATGATGATGTACCAATCGATAAGGACACATTTGCTTTTTGAAACAACTTGTCTACTGTATTCTGAAATAAAAGGAATTTATAAAGTACACAATAATAAAATAATACTATTTTTTACCTTTGCACATCTTAGTAATGCTACGGATTTCAGCATTACAGTTCGTTTTCTACACATTCGAATTCTTTTAAATGTTTTACGTAGTGCTGTTAAGAGATTCTGTAGGTCCTGGTATTGTTCGTGCTGCTGGGGCAAAAATGGTGCGGTCTTAAGTATGGTAATAAGAAAATCAACTTGATAAATAATTACTTTATTAGGAAATAATACATGTTTGGTTAAAATGAAAAATGCGATGTTTTAGTAAATAATAGCAAAAGTAAAAGTGACTATCAAAAGTCCCATAATTGGGTATATTTCACAATAAAAGCAAATCTTATAGTACAAAACATTTTTGCGAAAATAGTTTTCCTACTTGTTAATAATTATTTTAACTTGTCTTTTAACTTTTATTGCTTGTTAATAATTTTGACTTTTGAACTTTGTGTATAAAAAAGGAGATGATTGATTCAAGCTTCTTTACATTTCATTAAAAAACGAGGGCCCTTTTTGAAACCGGCTCTGGTAATTTGTACTGACATTTTCTCTTTCTGCAATGCTGGTTTTGAGGATATCTATCAGAATTAAGAAAAAATCAGTAGTTTGGCTATTTTAATATAGTTAAAATATTCAACTTAAATGCCTTTTTTTAGTTTGTTGAAATCTGCTCGATAAATCGTAATAAAAATTATAAATAATACAAAAATATAATACAAAAATTTATCATCACATCTAATTATAAACAAAAAAGTGTAATGTGATTAAGGATATCATTTCATCCATTAATTAGTTTATTTAGCATTACCCTGAGCGTTCTATACCGCAGTGAGAAAAGTACCTTTGTACTTAGTGTATACATAATAGTTTATTTTAATCACAGCAAAAAGCATATTAAAGCTGGCTCACAAACAGGGAATAAATCAGCTTTCGCTGTAAATTTTGTCTAGACACTTATATCTTCTGCCACTGATCTCATTCAAGACTCTAAATAAGCAAACAAGTTTCGAAAAAAATTAAATCGCTGTCTGAGTTACAGTTTTAGATATAAAAGTTGTAAAATGCAGACTGATTCTATCAAAGGTAGTTAAACATAATTTTGTAAAATCTGACATTATTCACATTATAGGAGACTCGAGTCCTTTGGGTAAGTTAACAGTGTTTACAAATGACAGATAAACAGTGTCAGCAGTTAAAGCGCTAGAAACCTTTATGAAGCAAATTGGTTCAACATTAATTTGAATCAAATCAATCCATTCTATTTGCACGTCTTCTTAAGCATACATATATTTCATTCTCATTTACACATTTTTTCTAAAGCAAATAAAGTAAAAAAATATAATCTACAGCGGAAAATTGCAACCGAAGTTGAAGATAGTAAAATCTTACAACTTTGTTGTGATTTCAGACTTGGAAAATATGCTGCTTTGCAGTAAAATAATAAGAACCGGGTTCACCAATAAATTTAGAACAAGCAGATACTTAATCGTAAAGGAAACGTTTGTAAAACATTTTTAAATTCATGGAAGCCTGTCATTAATATATGAAGCAAGTTTCGCCTGCTTTATATTATTTTTCAAGTGGTTGCAATATTTAATGGAGCTTCGATGAGTTTTAGGTGATCTGATGTAGAAGTCTAACCTGGCATTTTACTCCTATTATGTTACTGTTGTCTAGTAGGAACAGTTATTAATGAAAGCTAGTGACTGGCCCTGAGCCAATCACAAAAGACTCTGAAAGACTATGTGTCTATGATTATCATGTGTATACGAAGTAAAGAAATATGTGATCTGTCAGTCGAAAAATTCTTTCGTGTGTTTTGTGACACACACATAAAAATAGAAACTCGGTATTTTCCAGTGTTATTCTAGACGAGGTATCGTTCAACATTAGGATAGAACAGGCGCTAGTACATAGGGATATATCGAAAGACAACGCTGCGCGTTAATTGTTTCACTAGTTCCGGCTATATTGGTTTTGGCTGACTATTCTTGTCTATCAATAATTATGATCTTAACAAAAACTAAAGCGATATCTATACGGTATACACACAAGAAGTAAATATAATCTTTCTGGTTAACCAATATGCTGAAGGTTACACAAAGTAAAAAAGTAATCAAATTCTTTAACCGCTGTAAGCTTTTCAGACTTGACAAATACTCTGCAATTATTTAAAAGGAAGGTAATTATTTACCACCAACAGTACTCCTAGATCTAAAGGAATATGCAGCTAATATAAGCTCTCTCGAAAACTGGCCTAATTAACGTGAAGTCGAATGTCATTCACTGGAAAGCGGCAATTAAATCTGCTCGTTTACAAATTCCAATCTACAAAGCGACAGCTGGCAACGCACCTAAATCTTCCAGCAGACATAGTTCCAGAAACTGCAATTAGTCAGCTACTATTTGTTATACCTGTATACCTAACATGCTGTTTCTTGTTTTCTTAAATTAAGTTTATTTTCTCTCTCGGGAGAAAGTGTTATGTTTTAGAAATGAGGGAACTAAGGACCAGTTGAACTAAAATCTTTGATTCTTTATTTTCCGAGCACTCATTCTAATCGAATGAATGAATGATTTTTAACGCTTAGCTTTGATGTTGGCTTCGTCATTTCTAGAGGTTGTTGGTAATAACAACACAATTCGCCGCTGAAGTGTTAACTTGCTGTTTATGAACTCCATTTATTTACATAATTGTACTAATTGCATATAATTACATTAGATCTTTGTATTTAATACAAGCATCGGTGTGCAAAATCGGGATCAGGATGACATTTGTTTTATATTTTCTTCTTAGCGGCACTGAAAATAGATTTAAAAATGTGCTCCGAAAAATTTGTTGAAAAAATGTTTGAAATAACTTTAATAGTGTTTTACAAATAAATTCATATATGACTAGCTATTTCTACATTTCTGTTTACTTTTTATCTGATTAAGCAAGTAGTTTAGATTATACCATTTCAGTGGAGGCAAAGTGGTGCTATATTTGTTTTATGTCATGTTTTATGTATTGGTCTAAATGTACTTGATTTGAAATTCGATGCATTATTAAGTTTACCATACAAAAATTAATAAATTTCTTATTTATTTTAGCACTTGGCGAAAGATTAGAAAAATTCTTTTCCCATGAGTAGGAAATGATAAATATTTCCAAATTATAGCAATGCGAAACCATTTTATAATTCAGGCTCAGATGGGTTTGGCTACACGGCTACTGGGTATCTCGGAGGATAAAATCCTCATTGTTCACTACTTACTTGAGATATCTGCATAGACTTCTATGAAAGAATTTCTTTTATTGCCCATTTTAATAGCTATTAATTTAAAAAAAGCTTACGTAGTGCATGTGTTACCAACTCAAATTGCAATGAAAAAGGAATGTATGGTGTATAGTATAAGAATGTTATAGTTGCTCCAGGCTCTAGGTATTTTAAATGATCATTAAAAGCTTCAGTAGCTGCTAAAAGGTTTCTTTTCCTTACCACATGCCTTCGTGGAGTAATTAGAAACCCTTTCGGTGTAAGATATTTTCTCCCTCCTTATCACATGCCTTCTGGGTGTCAATAAAAGTGCGTCTGGTGTAAGGTAGTTTTTCACTCCTTAACGCGTGCTTTTATGGTGTCATTGGAATCGCGTCCGTTGTAAGGTATTTGCTTCCTTCTTATCGTGTGTCTTTGTGGTGTCATTGGAATCACATCCGGATGGAATTTGCGAGGTCCGAAGTTTGAATCCCGACGAGGGTACTACACATTTTTTATGTTTCCTGCTTCGAGTCTACACTTGAGTGAGCATGCAACCTAATCGATGGAATTATAATTGACTGCTTTTATGATCAGAATGTTTCAGAATAGTACTATATTTCAGCTATTGCTTCAAGATGCAATGTTTATTGAAGTTTATTCTAAATCATAAAGTTATATGATTGAAAGAGACATAGAATCGAAGAAAACAAACATCATATATTCTTTTTAACGATTTCGAATTTCTGTTTAAGCTTATTTAAAGATGCATTTCCTGTTTTCACGGACAGCTCTTAACTGACATGTAGTAAACTAATGTATTAGTTTTTTTTAATTATAATTTTACATTCCATTTTTCTGTGTGATTTCTTTGGCAATTCTACAAGAAGTATATTTTTAGTTGTTCTTTGTTTCTGTCTTGTTTTGTGGAAGGTTTGGAAGTTCATCTAAATGAAATCTTCGATATAAATTACAGTGATACATTGCTTACATTAGCGAGTTCATTAAAATCCTGTCCTTAAATTCTTATTTCTGTTTCTTAAGTTGCCTCAGACTTTCGGTCAGTAGCATGTTTCTTTCTACAAAACCAAAGATAAGCTTAAGGCTAATAACAAAAGGAAAAAAAAGTTTGTCAATAGACAGCTTTTATCTGTCACGGTCATCGTCGCGTCTTTAATAAAGAATGCGACGGCGAACTTCCGAAAATCTTTTCTGAGGCCAACTAAGCGAAACCAACATTTACTTCTTTTGAGAACAATCGCATTTTTTTTGTATAATCTAATAGGCAATTAAAATGGGATTTGGACATAAGTTAAAACTCGGAACTGAAATAACGATCTAAAAGCATGAAAAAGCTTGTGCTTTAATTAAAAAGTCGGATATTTGTTCCAGTAATGGTGCAAAAAACTTCTAAGTCCTTTTCTAAAGAGGATTATGCTAAAATCGCATTATTTTGACACTCCGATAAGTCGGTCTTTTGGGTAACTTGATTTTTCTTAAGATTAGTTTGGTCTAGTAGGTTTTGCTTTGGAATGAAATCTGTTTGTTTTGCAATCGACGGAAAAAACACCTGTTTAAGGCAACGTAAATTCATCTCCCTCACAGCAATATTTTCCTTAATCTTTCTTTTCCAAAAGAAAAGGTGACCGACATTAATTTAGAAAAGGAAGATCCACGATTTGAAAAATATCTTTCATTTCATAATAATTTTCCTTATGCAAATATAACGAGTGAAGAAGAAATCTGAAGCATGGTATAGTCTTTCTGAATATTCAAATCCTTCTATTGAAGAAGAAAGTCCAGAAGATGAACTTTACATTCTGACTCACAAAGAAACTTGTAATTCTTGATTTCCCCAAATTCAAGTTAGAACAGACGCAACGTTGAAATGCGCATTGTCGAAGGTAATTTATCCCTAGTATAAAAAGTTATAATACCGGAGCTTTTAAGCGCATTTAAAGACAATCTTACTTATAAACAAGTTGAAACCTGAGTTCAATAAAAATAACTTTAAATAACGTTCTCGTTACTCTATTAAAAGCGTTTCCAGACATTGACATTATTCTTGTTCTTAAACTGCGAACCAAATAAAAAAGCGATAGTATTCAGTAACTGAAAATATTTCTGCTACAATAAAAATTTTCATTAAATAACGTTGTTTTTTTCAGTTAATTTTACTTAGTATCTCATTTCCACCCTAAGTTGAAATGGATTTATGAGTCTCAACAAGTGTTGATTGAATAATGTAGTAATAAAATCTTTACATTAAAAATAAGAAATAACTAGGAAATTGCATTTTAATTATTTAGAAATTTTAACTAAATTACTAAATGGGTATTGTTTTTAAAATATTCCGTTTAGTTCGCTATCTTGACGCCAGCATAATTCAATATGAATCACTTGTTCCATAAATGTGCTAACTTAGTGAGGTTATCCTTTGATACACTTACCTTTTCTGTACAGCACGGCCAATCTAGAAGTAAAATGAAATATCGAATGATGGGAAAGGAATAATGTAAGAACCATTAAAGCATCCAAAATTTCTTTTGAAATCTCTCTTTTAGGTGCCAAACTTCGGTCTTCAAAAGGTCGTCTCTTTAATAAAATATATCGAAGCTTATCTTTCATGTGAAAATGTCCCTCTGTACTCATAATAAGCATATCTCAGCATTAAGTATTCTATAAAAATGTTAGCAAATTATTCATTAAGATTGCTAATTCCTACTAATTGTATTTATATAACATAAAAGATTTTAAGATAATAAGCACATGTAAATGTCCTACCTTATAGTATATTCTTTTCTTAGATTAGAAATATGCATGAAGTGAGCTATTAAAGCAGCGTAAGGCGCTCCACATTCCTTATCTTGCCTCATATTCTGGCCACATTAAATAATAACTGACAGATTCTTTCAGTTAGTTTGCTGGAGACTCATTGTCTAAATTGTTGATAATATATTTTCATGGCAGTTTTTAAGAAAAGGCGGGATATTGTTTGCACATCTGACATAGTATGAAATGTGCTCTTCAAAACACTTGTTGCAATTTTATACTCCAAATCTTTTGGCAGTTCTTGAGTTTGATCATGATATGGCAACTGCTGATGCATATCTTGAAACTTTGAAACTTTAAACTTAGCTGTTAAGGTCTGATGAGTACTTGCACAGAAATGATAAGCATGAAATCTTACTTTTACAGAATTCTCCTCGAATGGGTTTCTAAAATTTTAAGAGAGAAAGCTTTGTTTATTTCTGCTTCGTAAATATTAATTTGCTCAGTGTTTTATTATTGTTTACATTTAAAATGAAATGTCAATCGAACTTTGGTCAGTTATGTTGTTGAATCTCGTACAATCATGGCCTGGTCGTGTAGTTTTAATACTATGCTTTGTTAACACATTTTATAATGACGCCAAGGTGTCTTAGATACTTTATTTCTTGTATGTTCCTTCCTTTGAGATGCTCCTTCTAAAAATACAGCACTGGTTTTAATTAAGTACGTAAATATCAAGAAGTAAATACTCTGTCATAAATATGACTTCAAACGTCAATGACAATAAGAAACTTATTTCTTGTTTTAACATAACAAGGTACTTATTGCTTAAAGGAATAAAATTTTAAACAATATAAAGGTACTCGAAATTAGAATTACATGTATATTAACAAACCGTAACTACTGTTTAACTTACCACAAATTAATTCAAGACCATTTCTTGATCCAAATGAGCCTTATTTCCTACGCAATCTACATATTCTTACACTAGATAAAAACTGCACACCAGCATATTACGATTAATTTATATATTGCTGTTTTATTTAAAACATGTGTGAGAAAAATTTTGAAATGACCTAAACAATTTGAATATTTTTGATTAAGAAATGAAAGAATATTTCAAGTGTTTTAACATAAACATAAAAATATAAGAAACTTTTTACTGACTTTGAATTCTCTGCTCTCTTTGATCCTGATTTGGACTTTATAGTGCTCTCCAAGCCTAGGTTTACCCAGTAAAGCAATTTTTTCGTCTTCGGATAAATTTTCCTGGTTTTCATTGAGATCTTGGCCACTTTGCTCACGTAAGTAATCTGAAATCACAGGCATTAGTAAATTATATCCAAGCAAGAAATAATGAAATTTCCTAACTGTATTTTATTATATAATACTGGGGAAGATTTGAATTAAGTTACATTTGGACCTTTTTACATTTTCGATATTTGAAATATTAACTGTTTATTCTTTCTCCTATACATACAAATATCATTTCTACATATCAACTATATTTATAATTATTATTACTTAGTTTTCAACGCTCAGAATAAGAAAAATTTTAAAAAAATGTTATAGTTTAAAACAAATATTGATATAGGGGAAGGAATAAGAAAGCTGTATTTTAAAAGATTAGTAAGGGATTAGATGTGAAAACAATAGTTAGGTTTAATTAGTTTAGAGAAACATATAAAGAAGAGTACAAAGGAATGCTTAAAAGATTATTTACTTCGTGAAAAATGTAATTTATCAAAAAAAAAAAAAAAAAAATCCTTCGTCTAGAACCAATCACTTTTGTTACGATACGCACTCTTAACTGATTTCTCATGTGGTTTCCTTAGACTGATTTCTCTCCCAGTGATTTCTCTTGAGCAATTTCAGCTACTCTAGACCATTGTTTTTCTCCAACTCTTATCAGTTTATACATAAAATCCATTAAACGCTAGTTTAACAAAGAAGGAAGGGTTGTTGAAAGTAGTCTAGTAATTCGGTAAAGAAAGGTTTCGGTGGTCCAAAAAGTGTTTTCTTTATAAAATTTACAGGATTTAAGACAGAGAATTACATTTGCAAAATCCAAAACAATAAGAAATCTTATCAGTTAACGTATCAACCAGATTTTTAATTTTTCGCGTCACAAATTTTAAATATAACAGTAATTTTAAATATAACTGTCACCAACAATTTATGTTAATATGTGTTTCACGACTAGCATTAATATTTAACATGGGTATATGTATTATTCTTTTCATATACTTTTAAAATAAAGCATAAAAAGAAAAGCACATGAAATTTATAAGTATATTAAGTAGCTTCAGTAACACTGCTGGGGAAATAAAACGTCTAATGCTATTCGTTCCCTTTCTAAAATATCACATGAAAAACACAATAAAAAAGATATAATTCATGTGACTTATGAAATTATTCTTTTGATATAACAGAATAAGAAGCATTCACAACTGTCTTTTGATAATTTTCAGAGAAATACTGTTTGAAATTATTTATTGTACTAATAATTATACCTAAAGAAGCCATCTTGAAATATGCTTCTATGAAACGGAATTGATTTGCATAAAATAATAGATCAAGAATGAATATAATACGATACTAAATGATTTCTCAGATTTTGTAATAAAAATCGTATATTCAAGATAAAAAATTATTTTGATATATCGCCGATAAGATACCATGCACACTGGATATGCACATGCCACGAAGTGTGCGTTTTCAGGCGGGCAATTCTTGTTTCTAAACGAAGGGTACCTTTTAAAATGGTGTATACTCTAAATAGGAGGAGAATATATAGCGTTTATAGTGAGAGTTTATGACAAATATTAATGCAAAGAGGGAAATCACATTAATTTAAGGAATTATAAAACAAATTCAGCGTTTTGACTACAGGCACAGATGTTTCTTTTCATAATTTAAAGTAATAAAGGAAAATAATAAGCCGATTTCTATTCTAAACGCAAAAGTCAAGCATGTTAAATACGTACTCACACTCTGCAAATTTCTACCATACTAATATCAAGCAAAGAAATGAAATATGCGTACTAATTTGAGAGAGGATAGATGCATAAAATAAATGTAAAGAAGCTACTACAGGTTTCGACAGATAGTGCAACAGGCAAACTTACAATAAAGACCTGAATAACCAGTCTAAACAGATACAGCACACAGTAAGTGACTAAAGCAAATATTCATAACAAGCAAATCCATGAAAGATAAAGCAAATGAAAAAGCAGAGTAATTGACTAAATATACGAAAGCTAGGGAATAGTATAAAGAATGTCGCGTAAGCACAGCAAAAATTATTCTTATTTTCAGTAAGATGTACAACTATAAAAAGCAGCGTAGTGATATAGCAGGAGAGACGAGTTGCCTAATATGCGACACATAGTACACATTACATGTATATGCATGAAATTAAATTGAATGATCTTTTCATCAGTTATAGTTAGATGCTAAATTTATTGAGCCATAATGGATGACATAGTTTAAATTCAAAACGTATCAGTCAAAATATATCTCTTGTTACCTTGGGTTTCAGCTAAGTCAACGTCTTCCAGAGTGACATGCAAATAAAGAGAGAGATTAGGTGAGATAAATTCAATATAGTTGCTATGAAAGATTTTGCTAATTTACGTATTTTTAGACTAGAACAAAGAGTCAGTTTGACTATATGTATTATACTTCGCATTTTTGCACATATATTTAAAAAATACAGGGTAAAGTAACGCGGCGTGAGACTTACAAATGTATGAATTAGCTTAATGTAACGCTGCTTGAGTCTCATATTATTCTTTCGAGTTTAAAAATGTCACATGGAGTACACCCTGTAAAGGATAAAATTTATGTGACGAATGAAAGGCAAAAATTATTCTTTTAAGGAGCATTTACCACTGTATAAAAGCAATAATGTTTGAACTTATTCACTGTACGAATAGTTATACTAACGAAGCCATCTCGAAATATACTTCTATGAAACTGAACTGATATATGTAAAATGATAGACCAAGAATGGAGAAATTTAAAACATAATAAACATAATACGGTATTAATTAATTTCTTAGGATTTGTGACAATCGGTCGGTAAGCCGCCTAGCACTTGGATACTTACTTGCTATGAATTTTGACTATTCAGCCAATTCATGCCTTTAAAGCAAGGGCGCCATTTAAAATAATGTGTGCTTTAATTAGAAGAAAGAGAATGCATAGCTTTTATAATGACCTTCTTCTTTAAACTTTAATTCAAAGACAAAAAATAATCTCGTTAAGTTAAGGAATTGTGAAACAAATTCTACGCTTTGACACAAACGTACCAGTGTTTCTTTTGCTTAATTGAAAGTAAAAGAGAAAAATGATAAGCTGATTTCTTATTTAAACGCAAAAGTAAAGCATGTTAAATATATACTCACACTAGTTATACTAATACCAAGCAAAACAACAAAAGCTGCACAGAAAGCACACAAAGAAGCTACTACAAGTTTTTTACTGAACACAGCTCAGCGGACAAACGCAATGAAGTACTTCATGCTAGTCTTCCAAGCAAGTAACGCATACAGAAGGCGACAAAAGCGCACGTACATAACAAACAAATACACGAAAAATAAAGCAAATGAAAAGGCAAAGGAATGAAACAAATAACACGAAAGCTGGGGATGGTAAAGAATGTCGCATACGCACAGCAACAATTGTCCGTGTTTTGAGTAAGGTGTACAACTACAAAAAGCAGCGCAGTGACATCGCAGGAGAGATAAGAGTTGCCTAATATGCGACACATACGCATTACATGTATATGCATGAAATCAAAATTGAATTATCTTTTCATCAGTTATATTTATGAGCTAAATTAATTGAGCCATAAAGGATCACATGGTTAAAATTCAAAACGTATCAGTAAAAATATGGCTCTTGTTACCTTGGTTTTCAGCTAGACCAACGTCTTCCAGAGTGGCATGGAAATAAAGAGAGAGATTAGATGAGATATATGCCGATTTTTAATATAAGAAAAACATTATAGGGTAGTGCAGGAAAAGTAAATTTTAGAAAGAATAGAGCGAAAGTAGTCTATTGATAATTGGAATTGACATTCAATGCAAACATAAAGAGGCAAAATCTCGATTCAATTAGTCACCTTCTTCAAGCTTAGGATCTCCAAGTTCAACGTAGAAAGTTGCATCAGCTTCATAACTTTCATTGTCAATGATATGTAGTGGAATTTCTTTCCTGTCAAGGAGAAAAAAAAACTTCAATGATAATATACATATTTTATCATGAACTATATATAAAGAGGTAATTTTTTCTAACTTTATGTGCGACTTACGCACATTATGCATGTGTAAGACTCCTATGTAACTTATGTAAAAAAATGCCGATTAGTTTAAAATAAAGCAAATTTTAAACTAACAGTTTCAAAATCTTCCATTTACTTCAGTAATTAAAGAATCTGCGTATAGAATGGATATAATTAGTGACAAGCTATTACTTGAATTAAATTAATTTCTTGCATGAAGTGCGTAGATGATTGTAACATCTCTGATATTTGTGTGTTCAGCCGTTCAAATAACAGATGGTTAGAGATTGTAATTCTGATGCAGCTCATATTATAAATCATTATAGTCTTGGCCATTTAAATAACACATAGGACATAGTTTATTTATACGAATGGAGGTATAATATAGACACTATAATACTCTGCAAATTTAATGTTTTGGACTGGTGTTTAAGTTACATAATTACCTGAAACACATTTATGCCTAATATCATTCCTGAATGCATAATTTCTTTATAATCACTTATTGATGAAAAAGTAACTACAAATTTCCCTAAACATTTATCGCATTTTAATTGTATTACGTGTGCAACACATGATTAGCCGAAGCTGCAAATTTATTTTGACGAGAGATGCCGTAAATAATAAAAATAGCATATATTTTGATCAGTAATTTCGTAACCCCAATAGATGGGGCAAAGAACTGCTTTTACAAGCCATAGTTTTCCAAAACACTATGATGAAAAAATTACGATATCGCATCCAGTGCAAAGAAAATAAATTTTACTTTAAAATTCGGTACATTTTGCTTGATATTTACATTAGAATGTGCTCAAAGGATCACATCGCATTTCTTGCACACGTAATACTATCTATTCATTGAACGCGACATAGTGATTCGCAGAGACAGGCAAAATAACTCGCCTTGAAGCTCTCCTAACTTTTGTCAATCTCAAACTTTCGGAAAGCCCTCCATCAGCCATTACTTAACGAATACACGTATGGTCATTTTGAGCTTTTGTTAATGTAAATGTTGAGTAAAATTAACTTATCTAAATTTATAATAATTATATTGAAACAATTTTATTTATTTATTTTGAACTGGATATGACGCTGTAATTTTTGCGTTACGTTTTCTCAAAAACAGACAGTTCTCTTAGACAGGTCTTGGAACCCTTTTTATCCATTATGTTCAGAAAGAAATATCGTTACGCAGAGTTTAAGCCCCATTTATGGAATATTTATAATGTGAAATAACATATAAAGTATGTTTTAAAATGAAGTAACATTTGTTACAAATAGAGTTTTATTAAAACTGACGCAAATAATTATTATCAAAACTGACACAAGATATACCTAACTTCAGCTGGCGCGCATCGAAACTCATTCCTTGTCCTTAGTTTCTACTGCTAGTATATGGAAATTTTGCCGTGCGTGCAGAAGCATCTAGATTCTAGATGAGTTTTAATAAATCAGCTTTGCATTTGAAATAATTTATTTTCTGACGAGTTTACACTCCTCAGATGAATTTACAAGTTCAGAGAAAAACTTGTCATGCAGTTAATACTGTTTTAAATGAAAAAGGCAATTATTTTGTAACTGTAAACAGTATGTCTAAATTAAAATATTGATAAAATCTTCAAAAGGACAAATAAAACTTATAAAAAATTGTCAAGTCAAATATAATGATAAGAGTGCAGGAAATCTATTTTCTAAGTAATGATGCCTTTCTCTTTTAAAACTGACACTAAATTTTATTTTTTTCAAACAATAAAAATGCCATCCTGTCACATTCGGATAAAATTTTTACGTGGTTACATTAAAGAGAATAAAATACTTTAATAGGTATTTTCACTGTATATAACAAAAATACGATATCATAAATAATAATAAATACGTGTAATGCTTTAATAGTATTTGTACCATATTATTATTCTTTAACAACATAATTATTTTATTTCCCTGTTCATTAATTTTTATTTGAATTTATTACACATATTTTTATTTACATAAAATATTTTACATATTTATTTGAAAACTATTATTTTTTAATCAGAGTTCCCCTTTTCCTTCTGTTAGAACTTCTGCACTTTCAGAAGGTAATCCACTGCACAAAAGATGCACATTAAAAGCCTGACCTGTAGTAAGTGATAAATTTCAACTTCGGTCTGGCATTAATGTTGATGAAAAAAAGGTCAATGCTCATTTAAATGTCAATGGACAACACGGTATTAAAGCCTATGTCAGAGACAAGATTTGTGAGAAATTTTCAATTCAATAAACATTTTTAGTGCAAAGTCCGCAACTGATATTAGCTACTTTACTTTAGACAAGTTTCAGATTTCTCTAATGCTTTACTTGGACAAGTTCGAATATTTCTAATGCCTTGATATTATCAACAGTTTTTAATTCTGCACTTCGAAGAGAGAAAGAGAGCGAAACAAAACATAGCATTAAATTTGGTGTCTCATATTTCTGCTGCTGAAACATAGTGATGAGTACATATAGAGGTCGAGAGTAGCTTACAAACATGAAGCTATGCCTCTCTGGGAGTTGAAAAAGAAATATTGGGTTGCTGAATTGGTCTGCAAAGACTGCACCTTAAGAGCATATGGGATGAATATTTTAATTTGTTTCTCCTTTTGGTAAAAGGTGATAGGAATAGTTATGATTTTAGATTTACATGATGATCATAAAGATTTTATTATTATGTTAATGAACTCATTACTCTAAAATGTATCATTCCATGAATCGATGGGTCCTTTTCCTACAAGAATTATGGAAGTCGAGTGGAAGACAACAGTAGCGAAATATTTCAGTCCTGTGTTTGTTTCCAAATGTAAAAAGAAAATGCTCAGTTTGGAAGAAAAAGAAGGAGAGTTGACTCAATATTTGATGAATAAAGTGATACATTTTTGCCTTGCAGCACATACCTTTTATTTTTTTCTTGTGTCCAAATGTCCAAATATAGCTATGCGCTCTCTTAGCACACAAGTAATGAGCACACAAGTAGTCCTTTGACTAAACTGGAGTACACCTCTGTTAAAAAAGTTTGCAGATGAAAAAAAAGCAAACATTTCTTATTACAGTAACGGGTCCCAAATGTTCAAGGAAGGTCTTACTTAATCAACTTGAATAACTGAATTTGCTTTTTAGGAGAGTGTTAACATACTCTGTACAAAAAAGTGCTGGAAATAATATTATATGAGGCAGGGTAGTTCTTGTCCTAATGCAAAAGGAATTAAAACGTTATTTTCAACGGAAAAAATTTCATCGAAATGTCTGAAATGTCTTTCGACCATTCAACGTGATATAGCTTTTTGAGCAAAGTTGTTTCAGATTATTTGATCAGGTCTAGATCCCTGTGTTTCAACAACTATTTTATTCGCCATGCCTCTCATTCTTTGACCCTATATGCTGTCTACATGATCAGTATTTTCAGGCATTTCAAGCCATTCATAATGACACAATAACCATCTATGACAGATATCAAAAGAGGCACTATATCAGTGCTGGCAACAGAAATGTCAAGAGCAGTGGAGCAAGTATATGTATTCCGATGTAAGTTATTTGGAAGATGGCTAGGTAATAAATTTTTACATTGCAGAATTACAAAAGTATGTGTCCTGAGATGTGTCCCTATGAGGCGTCCTGCAATATTTTCTTATCATTTTGCGATGTGTCTCCATAAGGCGTCCTGCAATATTTTCTTATCATTTTGCAATGTGTTCTACGTGTCTTTATCGTCTTGCGATGGGTCCTATGTGTTTTTATTGTCCTTATGAGATGTGTTCTTATGTCCTCTGTCCTTATGAACACAAAAGTATTTATTCTGTGATATCTGATAAAAGCTGGCAGTTTTATCCGTGATTATATCATTACTCTGTTGCGAACTCGTTTGCAAAACTACGCAAAAAAAAAAAAAAAAAAAAACAACAACTACAGAGTATATTTTCACATCTGCTGATGATATCGAGCTGCTACAGCCAATTTTTTGCATTTTTTCCATAACATCTTTGATGCTGGATCATGTCATATTTTTAAACTGCTATTTCCCCAACCCATTACTGTGAAGATTATAGAGGTAAATACAAGGTAACATAAAAAACATCCGAGTGGTTACAATGTGTGTCTTGTGTCCCATACATCTTTGAAGCTGGAGAACGTCCCATTTTCCACTACTTTTCCACCAACCCAGTACTATAAAGATTATAAGAGGTAGATACAAGGTAAGATAAGAAGCATCAAGACAAAAAGTCATTCGAGGAGTTCGTTTTTCAAGGTATCTAATAATCCTGTAATCTTTAGAAATCGAATTACAAAATGCAAGGTTACGGACAGAAAAGAAGGAAAGCTGAGATATCTGGGTCGTATCGGCTGGTAAATGACAGGAAGCCAACAAAGAGCTGAAAAATGTAGATGCGGTAAGTTTGAAAAGATATATGCAGCAGTATCATCTTTAAGAAGCATATCTGTTTTGGACTAGCTATTAAAGTTCATTTATAAATAAAATAAACCGCTACGGCTGATAAATCAGTACAGCAGAATAAATTAAATAAAAGAACCCTTCTAAATTTCATTCCGTCACTCTCTTTCACGAACCATTTTGCTCAGCCCTGAATAAAACGTGCTTTTAATTTCGATCGAATATTTTGTTTAAAATAAAATTACTCATCAGAAACTAAAATCGCTGAGTCATAAATGTTTTATGAGAGTTTTTTAAACCTGATACGTACTTTTTTGCGTAGTTTAAATTAATATTTCTGCTTAACACCGAATTTACAGTTACTTAGCTAACTTTTGTACTTGAGAAACTGGTACAGTATTAGTGTTTGATTACTGCTATTAATTTATAAGGTTTAGCTGTTAACGGATAGATTTATTGTAAAAAATAAGATGAACTAATTTTGCTAGATGAAGTAATGGAATATTTTTATGTTTTTTTAAAGATATG